AAAGAAAGGAAAACCCCCAAACCCGGATCTCTTTGGTTTGCCCCCCACCCCCAGAGTATTGCGCAGTGCCAGGGAGGGTCGCTGGGCCCCAAGTCCCCATGGGGCCAGGCTGGCCAGCGTGCCCCCATCAACCTGCCCCAGCACATGGGCCAGGGGCGAGGGGAGACCCCGGGGTGGCTGCGCTGGGATGGGCCCTGGCCAGGCCATCCAGGGGTCCCTGGTTGTTGAGGGTCTTGGTGCACTGAGAGGGGCTGGGGACAGAGAGGGCAGAGATTGGGGCAAAGCCCCAGCGCCGAAACTGTCTCGCTTGTTCTGGGTGCTCCGGGGTGAGATTATGCGGGTGTGCGTGAGTGTGCGGGTGTGATTGCGCGGGTGTGATCGGGGGGTGCTACGTCAGAGAGAAAAGGGGGGGGAGTGTAATCGTGTGTGGCCGTGATTGCGTGGCGTGACTGTGTGACCGTGATTGCGTGGGTGTGATGGTGTGCCAGCGAGACAGCGAGCGTGCATGTGACTGCGACTGTGCGACTGCGTGTGCCCGGGTACGGGCGCCTGCCTGGTCCCCTTGGTGAGACGAGCAACACGGTTTCCATTTTGTCTCTTTCTAGGGGATGTTTGTTCTGGGCCTGCCCTATGCCATCCTTCATGGTGGATACCTAGGACTCTTTTTAATAATTTTTGCTGCAGTGGTTTGCTGCTACACTGGGAAAATCCTTATTGCCTGTCTTTATGAAGAGAATGAGGATGGGGAGATAGTCAGGGTGAGAGACTCCTACGTGGACATAGCGAACGCGTGCTGCGCGCCTCGCTTCCCCACCCTCGGAGGCAGAATTGTGAACGTGGCTCAGATCATTGAACTGGTCATGACCTGCATTCTCTATGTGGTGGTCAGTGGGAACCTGATGTACAACAGCTTCCCCAACTTGCCCGTCTCCCAGAAGTCATGGTCCATCATTGCCACGGCAGTGCTCCTGCCTTGTGCGTTCTTGAAGAACCTCAAGGCTGTCTCCAAGTTCAGCTTGCTCTGCACGTTAGCCCATTTTGTGATCAACATCTTGGTGATTGCCTACTGCCTCTCCAGGGCACGCGACTGGGCCTGGGACAAAGTCAAGTTTTACATTGATGTGAAGAAGTTTCCCATCTCCATTGGCATCATTGTCTTCAGCTACACCTCTCAGATCTTTCTGCCTTCCTTGGAGGGGAACATGCAGAACCCCAAGGAGTTTCATTGCATGATGAACTGGACTCACATAGCAGCTTGCATCCTTAAGGGACTCTTTGCCTTGGTCGCCTACCTGACCTGGGCTGATGAGACCAAGGAAGTCATTACAGACAACTTGCCATCCACCATTAGGGCAGTAGTCAACATTTTCTTGGTGGCCAAAGCCTTGCTCTCGTACCCCTTGCCGTTCTTTGCGGCTGTGGAAGTCCTGGAGCGGTCCCTTTTCCAAGATGGAAATAGGGCGTTCTTCCCCAACTGCTATGGGGGTGATGGGCGGCTCAAATCCTGGGGACTCACCCTCAGGTGTGCCCTGGTAGTTTTCACCCTGCTCATGGCTATCTATGTCCCGCATTTTGCCCTCTTGATGGGTCTTACTGGGAGCCTCACAGGTGCAGGGCTCTGTTTCCTGCTACCCAGTCTTTTCCACCTCAAACTCTTGTGGAGGAAGCTCTTGTGGCACCACGTCTTCTTTGATGTTGCCATTTTTGTTATAGGTGGTATCTGCAGTGTCTCTGGATTCATCCACTCTTTGGAAGGCCTCATAGAGGCCTTCAGAACCAACGCTGAAGACTAAGGAGGGGCCAGAGCCGGTTGCAGTAGGAGAATCGCATCGAACATCCGCATAGCCAAATAATTCTGCATCCCTTTAATGGAAAGAGTCATTATTTTCGTTACGTGCATCCAACAAATTCTATGTCATAGAATCTGCAAATTAAAGGAAATAAGAAGAGATGAAAAGTGTTCGCCCTGCCGTCTTTTTAAATAAGCTAAGAGTTAAATATATTTTTTTGTTATTTAGAATTTTTTGAAGGAAATTATCCAGTGCCCCACCCTTATCTCCTCACTTGTTGCCTGAAGCTTGGCCCCCCGCGAATGACCTGTTGGGAAACAGTCATAGTTTTCAATATTCCTTACAGATATGCAATTCAGTGTTTCAGGAGCTGAAACACAGGTGCCGATCCGATGGGATTGGGTTACTGCGCTCACAGATGGGAAGCAAACCGGCTGTGGGTGCCAGGAGCAGGGACCTTCGTTTTACACTGTGTGAGGTGGATGTAGATGAGACCCAGATTGTACGACCAGCCCAACAAGTCCAAGCAGCGGCTGATGACCAGCGATGCCAGTTACCTGCAATGTTTACACCGTAGTCACATAGATGTCAGGACTGCTTAATTCTTCCATCCAAATTCACACCGAGGAATGGCACTTCCCATCGATTACAATGTTTTGCCTCTGGTTGAAATTGTAGACCTGGAGTCCGCTTCTCGGTGACTTTTGTTTTGTTTTAACAATTGTTACTTCTAAACTATGAAAAGTTAAAAAGAAAAAAAAATTAATATATTGTTGGATTTGACGTCGTTCAGGATACAGGAAGAAAAATACGACACAATTCATTCTGTGCAATCTACCAGATCCGTGGAGCTGTTTCCAATGTACGTGTGGTGTCATTGTGGTAAATAAGATGAAAAATGTATATCAGAAAAAAAAAAAAATCTATCTTTAACATATAATGTGGTACATAAATATATCGAACAATAAAGAGAAAACATAGTGGACGAGGCTGGCCTGGTTCGTGGGGGGGCTGGGAGGAGTTGGGCAGGGGCAGAGGGATGTTCTTGTGAAAGGAAGGAGGGGGAACCCCTTATAACCAAACAAATGCAGTGGAGGGGATGGAAAATAAACGAAATCATGGGCTGGGGGCACCCCCTGGCTTGAACCAAATTCACTCCGCCTTACCCACGGGTGCGGAGCGTGGGGCTGATCCCCGCCGCGGGGGCGGCCGCCC